TAATAAAAGAAGAAAATTTTTTCGTTTTTATTTGTACCGTCCCACGCATGCATTCACGCACGTACTCACGCACGCACACGCACGCACATACCTTATCATGTTATCATCATTTATTTCATTAACGGTAGGAAATTAATTTTGCTTTTTTTTTTTAAAGAAGAAGAAGAAGAAAATTTTGATAATTTTTGTTTTTCATTCAATTCGTTAATTTATCTTTTAAATTCCACACATTTTTCTTCTTCTTCTTTTCATCTTCTTTAAATTCATTCCAAAGCAAAAAAAAAAAAAAAAAAGAAAAATCCATGATAGGAAAACGTTAAAAAACTTAAACGTAAATTTTGTTTTTTTTTTTTTTTTAAATCGAAACCCAAAATGAAAATTAAAAATTTTATTAATTTACTCGAAATAACGATTCGTTCATTTTTTTTTAGAATTTAAATTGAAATTGAAATTGAAATTTAATTATTTTCAATTTGAATTTTTTTTTTTTTTTGCTTTGCTTTGTTTTATTTTTTTCGTCGTAACTTTTTTTCTATTTAAATATCGGTTTATAAAATATCGTAAAAAAATTTTTTGAAAATAATTGAAACGGTGGGAGGGGGTGGGGTGGAAAAAGAAAATGGGGGAGGGTAGAGGGAGAGAGAAAAATGAATGTTCGAATAACAAATCGAAACGATTATAAAAAAATTCTTATTGGGTTTCACCTTTCCCCAAACTCTTCCGATCGCATTAACCTCCTTTCACTCGAGTGTGACGTAATTTTTTTATTAATTTTAAGCTCCGCCCCCTTTCTCCTTCACATCCACCACGTGACCTAAACTCCAATCTCACCTTCTTTCTCTTATTCTCACCTTTCACTCCTTTCACACTGACTCTCGCGTATTATTTTTAATAATTATTCCAATAAGAAAACCGTTAAATTTTATTATAGGAAAATAGGAAAATTAAATTAATGCTAATATAAAAGTTGAAGGAAAAAAAGAAAGAGAGAGAAAAACTTTTAAAGATGACGTCGATAGAATAATAATAAAAATAATCATCATCATCATTATCATCATCGTCATCATCGTTATTATTATTAATATCATAAAAAATTTTTTTTTTTTTTTCTTTTTCGTTCGCATTTAATTTTTCGAAATTACGTCACCAAAATTTAATAACTTTAATACCTTATCAAAATCATTATTATCTCTCTCCGTAATAAAATTTAATAGTCAGATTTTATCCCCATTTTTTTTCCTCTCTTTTCCTCCTCCCATGGGAACATTTAAAAAAAAATAAAAAAAAAGGGGAGGAAAATTTTTTTTTTTTTTCAAATCATCATTCGAAAAAAAATTTTAAATTTAAATTTTTTAATAATAATAATAATAATAGTGAAATGATTACGAAAAAAAAAAAAAATTTTCCTCTTCTTTATTTTGAGTAACGGTTGGAAGGGGGGGAAGGGGAGAATAGCAGAGAGTAAAAGGGTAATGGGGAGATAGATTAAAAAAAAAAAGGGAGAGAAAAAATAAAACGGGAAAATGAGATGAAGAGGAGAATGAAAGGGGGAAATAAGGGGAATTAAAAAAAAAATTAAAAACTTGTACTTTTTTTTTTTTTTTACAATTTTTATTTTTTTAATTTTTTTCTCATAGCCAAAAACAATAATTTTAAAAGAAGGAGTAAAAGTTGACGAACCACGGGCTGCTCAGAAAACAAGAAGAAACCCGTCGACGCATGTGGGGTACCGGCCGATCTGCCTTCTCGATGTGATGAGTAAGTTTTTAGAGTGCGTGCTGGCGTCACGGATCATCTCGCATTTGGGGGTGAACGGGGGGAATCCGAACGGGTGTTAGGATTGGGGTGGGGAGGACACTTTGGCACTGGGGAGGTTACTTCGGTATTGGGGAGGTCGTTTCGGTTTTGGGGAGGTCGCTCTGACACTGGGGAGAACACTTCGGTATTGGGGAGGTTACTTCGGTATTGGGGAGGTCGCTCTGACACTGGGGAGAACACTTCGGTATTGGGGAAGTCGCTTCGGTATTGGGGAGGTTACTTCGGTATTGGGGAGGTCGTTTCGGTTTTGGGGAGGTCGCTCTGACACTGGGGAGAACACTTCGGTATTGGGGAGGTCGCTTCGGTATTGGGGAGGTTACTTCGGTATTGGGGAGGTCGCTCTGACACTGGGGAGAACACATTCGGGTGTCACCTTCGGGCAACGGACCTAGTATCCTAACGTTGGCACGCATCGGCAAAGAGAAGACGATGTCCCCCCGTGGAAGACAAGGAGGAAGATGAAGAGGCAGGAATAGAGGTAACTGGGGCCGAAGAGGACGAGTGCCGGGGCCGGGGCCGGGGCCGGGGCCGAAGAGGACGAGTGCCGGGGCCGGGGCCGAAGAGGACGAGTGCCGGGGCCGGGGCCGAAGAGGACGAGTGCCGGGGCCGGGGCCGAAGAGGACGAGTGCCGGGGCCGGGGCCGAAGAGGACGAGTGCCGGGGCCGGGGCCGAAGAGGACGAGTGCCGGGGCCGGGGCCGAAGAGGAAGAGGACGAGTGCCGGGGCCGGGGCCGAAGAGGAAGAGGACGAGTGCCGGGGCCGGGGCCGAAGAGGAAGAGGACGAGTGCCGGGGCCGGGTGCCGGAGAGTTCTGATCTTCTTCCCTCCGAGTAGTTGGATCTCACGAGTGTACCCTCCCACGTTCAATTCGGGCTTCCGTTTATTCTCCCATGCCTGCAAAAAAAAAAAAGAATTATTATTTAATAAATTTTCTTATAATAAACAATTTGCGTTTTTTTTTCTTTACCTCCCCCCCTTATTCTCTCTCTCTCTCTCTGTCTCCCCCCCTTATTCTCTCTCTCTCTCTCTCTCTCTCTCTCTGTCTCCCCCCCTTATTCTCTCTCTCTCCCCCCCTTATTCTCTCTCTCTCTCTGTCTCCCCCCCTTATTCTCTCTCTCTCTGTCTCCCCCCCCTTATTCTCTCTCTCTCTGTCTCCCCCCCTTATTCTCTCTCTCTCTCTCTGTCTCTGTCTCCCCCCCCCTTATTCTCTCTCTCTCTCTGTCTCTGTCTCCCCCCCCCTTATTGTCTCTCTCTCTCTCTCTGTCTCTGTCTCCCCCCTTACTCTAAAAAAAGAAAGAGCGAATGAAAAAATACTAAATAAGAAAGAAATAGAGACAGAGACAGATAAATAAATAGGTAAAGAAGAATGAGAATTAAGACTCCCACCCCACCCCCCTTCGTTCCCGGTCGTGATGACAGTGAGATGAGCTTAAACCTCCCATAAAATTTGAACCCTCCCCACACTTTTTTTTCTTCCCCCCAACGAAAAAACTTTTAAAAAAATTCAATTCCGCTCAGTAAGCTAACGAATAAATCATTTAAACATTTGACCAAAAAAAAAAAAAAAAAATTTTTTTTTAAACAGATTTACCAACACTTGAAAAATAATATTTTCCACCCCTCCCCCTCTCAACCCCCTTTTTCTCTTTTTCTCTTTATCGTGAGATTTCCCACAGGAATTTTAACCTTTCCAATCAAAATTAAATCTTTTTTTTAAAGCCTATACGAAAAAAAAAAAAAAAAAAAAATTCATATTCCGCCGCCATTTTCCCTCCCCTCTACCCTCCTTACTCCCCTCGCCTCCCCCAAACCCTTTCTTTTTTTATTTTTTTCATTAAATATTTTTCCTTCGTTCGTATTTCTTTCTTTCTTTCATTTTTTTCTTTTTCCCCTTTAGGCTTTTCTTTTTTCTTCTTCTTTTAAAATTTCCACTAAGAATAATAAATGTATATAATATTTTCAAAATTATTAAAAAGAGAAAAAGAAAAAAAAAACCCGAAAACATGAGCGGAAATGAAATTTTAAACACGACGTATCCCCCCCTCCTATCGTCGGCCGAAAAAACCGGAAACGGGTCCCATACGCCAAGTTAAAAACATTTAAAAAAATAATAAAGTCAAAAAGAATCATAGAGAAGTAAATAATTTCCGTTTTGGTTTGCGTGCCTGCGTGTGCGTGTGGGGGGGGAACGTGCCTGACCACTGAAACCCTTACGCGCTTACAATCAATGATGCCCCGAAAGAAAAATTTTAAAAAAACCAAATTTTTTTAAATGAAAAAATGAGAGAGAAAGAGAAAGAGAGAGAAAGCAAGAGGGGGAGAGGGAGAGAGAGAGAGAGAGAGAGAGAGAGAGAGAGAAAAGAATTCGAGTACTTTTTAATTCCCGAGGGATACAAGAAATCCTCGAATGAACCCATAAAAAAAAAAAACCCCTTGACAAGTTCAAAGGACTATTATCGCGTGCAAAAGCCATAATGATGATAATAATAATAATATAAATAAAAATGTCAATAACAAATTGGAAAATAAAAAAGAAATTAAAAACAAAAATATTCTACCAACTTTTGAAATCTTAAAACTTTTTTTTTTTTTTTGAAATCGCCCTTACGTATCTTTTCCCCTCCCTCCCTCCTACCGTCCCTTTCTTTCCTACATTCATCCTCCTCCCTCCCTTCCCCCTTTCTCTCTCTCCCCCTATCTCAAATTCTAGTGTGCTTTTAAATAACTCGAGTCAAGTACGAAAAAAAAAAAACGAAAAGAAAAAAAAATGGCCACGATCGGAAACGGAAATAGAAATAAATATATGACATCAATAAAACATTTTCCGAAATTTCCCAAAAAAAAAAAAAAAAAAATTTTGAAAATGGCGCCGTCGGTAACAGAAATTCCATTTTCGAGGTCAAAGTTCGTAATTATCTCGTTAAAAAAAAAAAAAAAATTTCGATTCGACATCGAAACTATCATTATTATTATTATTATGATAAAAGAGTAAAAACGGTTGAAAATTTTCCTCCCGGGGGAATTTTAATCCCGGCTAATTATAAAAATTTAAATATTCAAACATAATTAATTAATTAATTAACATAAACGACGACGACGACTCTCGTAATAATAATAATAATAATAATAATAATAATAATAATAATAGTAATAAATTTTAACGCGTTCGTTTAACGTCCGGTCATCAATTATTTATTTACATTTTTTTTCCCCGTTTCGAGAGAGGTAGAGAGAGAGAGAGAGAGAGAGAGAGAGAATGCAAAACAGCAGAAGAAAAACCCACGGCAAAAAATAACAATAATAAAAAACGTATAAACGAGAGAGAGAGAGAGAGAGGGGGGGGGAAATTTCATGCCATCACATTCACCATCACATTATCGCGTGCGTGCGTGCGTGCTCGTACGCATCGATTCATTTCTTCTCACTACGTAAGATTTAAATAAAAAAAATTCTAACTCCACGACGACGATGATGATGATGATGATGAATGGCAGGAAATGTAAGAGAAAAGCGAGATAATAGAGAGACGTTAAAATTTCATTAACGAAAAAAAGGAAAAAAAGAAAATTATACTAACTAAGATTTTTCCGCTCCAAAACTTTGTACGTATCCATTCCGACGCAAATGATATCTTCCCCTCTTCTTCCTCTTCCTCCTCTTCCTTCTTCTCTTCTTCCCGCAGGAATAAATCGAATTTCGATTTCCTTACGTTTCATTTCATTCTAAAAATAAAAATAAAAAATTTACACCCTCCCCTTCCTTTTTTTTATATTTATTTATTTATATAAACAATGTTACCAACCTCTAACGATGACTAAAATAGAATTAAATTTTTTTTTCTCTCTCTCTCTCTCTCTCGTTGTTGTTGTTTTCGTGTTAATCCTTTTCCGTTGTTGTTGTTTTTTTTTCGAGCGTTATAAAAAAAAAAAAAAGATTTAAGAGCTTATGACGTCACCGAGCTGTAAACCTAAAAAAAAACAAAAATAATAATAATGATAATAAACAATAATCAAAATAAAATGAAATAAAATTGCTTTCGATTAATCAATCAATCAATCAATCACCTTTTTCCATCGAATCCGTCGGTTTAAAAAAATAAATAAATATAATTTCAAGTTGATTTTTTTTTCTTTTTTCTTATTTTTCTTCTTTGTTTGTTGTTTGTTTGTTTGTTTGTTGTGGGTTGTTAGTAAGTGAAAAACGAAAAACAACCGTGTCGATGCCTCGGATTAAGATCGGCAATCACGGAATCCGTTTTACCCTCGTAGAGAACGAACGTTTCACCCGTTCGAGTGTTCATTTTTTCGCAGAATATATCATCGGCGAGGTCATCTTGCGATAGGGAATATATGAAACCGTCGATGAGACAAGCTTGTGAACATTCGTATTTGAAATGACCTACGACCTCTAAATCCTTGTTAGGTTTCGTCGGATCGAATTTATATATCGTATTCGTGCAATTCCCTGTAAAAATGGGAAATAAAATCATCGTTCGACTTCCGTTCATTTTTTATTTATTTATTTTATTTTTCTTTTGTTTTCGAAACTCACCCGCCAAATATATAAAATCATCATCGGCCATGGCACATGAAAATCCTCTCACGAACGGTTTTATCGGAACGGTAAACCACGTGTCCGTTTTCGGATCGTATTCGTAAACGTTACAATCGACGAGGTAAAGAGCTTCGCGAAAAACAACGCAAGGCGTCGAATATAAATTTTGCGGCATCGAAGCACACTCCGACCAAACTTCTAAAAAAAAAATCAACACTTTGATTACGTCACGATTAACGGAAACGGAAACGGAAACGAACAAACGTTAATTGTCCTTACGATCGTTTAAACATAATTTGCTGACTTGATTTTGTATTACTCTATGACGTCCGAATCCTCCCATTATGTATAAATAATTACCGAGCAAACAAACCGACATGTGTCTTATGGGTCTCGATATGCTGGAAAAAAACAAAAAAAAAAAATTTTTAATGTCGCCATGTTTGTTTTCTTTTTCAATATGACGTCATCGTGTATAAAATCACCTCGTGAAAAAAGACCATTTGTTTTTCAATGGATCGTACGTCCATATGGCATCGTTCCACATATTTTGACGATTCATTATGAGACCACCGATCAAATATATTTTAAAACCGTCTGATATCACTTTGAAACCCATCATGGTTCCGGCACTGCTTTCGACTTTCGTCAATCTCGTCAGGGGTATGAATTTTTTTTCAGTTTCGCAAAATTTAACGACGTATGGACTGCTCGTATCCGGTCCCGTGTATATGTTTCCGACTATGCAAGGCACGGAGGGTAATTTCCTAGGTTTGACTTTTAACCAATTTTGTATGAATAAATTGACTTTTTCGCAGTCTTCTGCCACGACACCGTGCAAAAAAAAAGAAAAAAACTTTAATGTAACAAAAGCCCGACGTGAAAAGCGTGAAAAGGATTCTCCAATTATAAACTCTCACCTTTGTTCTCGTCTATTTTTAACCTTTTACAATCTAAATAATTTTCTCTCGAATCATCGTCCACGTTTTTCTCTTGTATCAACTTGAGAATTGCTTTGAAAACCTTTAAACAAACAAAAAATAATAATAATTAAGGTTCGATTTGGATGATCATTCTCAACTATCATTATAATTTTACTACCATTGGACACGATTTAACGGATTCGAACAAAATCATCCTTTCTAAATCTATCAAACGTAGGGATTTCAAACGAAGGCAAAGTAAAAGTCTTGCCGTGTGCTGTCGTCGTCGTCGTCGTCTATCATCTTCGCAACAATTCATCATCCATTTATCTAAAGCTATCCAAACTCCCCATTCGCCTTTCGAACAATGTAAAGCCGGATCGCTGCAGTACCTATGGGGGGAAAAAAACATTAAAAAGGATTCGTATAACTACGAGAGAGAGAGAGAGAGAGAGAGAGAGAGAAAATCAATCGAGATTAACGTTAAAATTTACCTACCCTTCGACCTGATCAACGTGTAAATTATAAAACGAATCTAATTTTGTGACGTCATCAAAATGCCACAATGCAAATGCTCGTGCCTGACGTATTAAATTTTCCGATTCTATTCTACTCGCGATTTCTAATATTTTCAAACAATTAATCGTTTCGACAGATTGCGATATGACACTCGAACACCATTCTGGAAAAACAAGAAAAAAATGATTATAATAATAATGATAATAAATAAAATAAAGTTAAAAACAAATAAAATTTTTTTATTAATTACCTTCCATATCCGTAAATCGAAACATGTTAACGGTTTGTAACAATTCAAGCATTTCTTCAAGTTTGAAATCATTTTCGTTATTCATTTGTAAAAAACCGCCATTTTTTAAATATTTAAGAACGTATTCCCAAGATGTAACCGTCACATTCTGAAACAAATAAATGGTAAAATATTATTAATAATAATAATAATAATATCAAAAATGGTGTAAAATTTTTTTTGTATACATTATTGAGAGTGAGAGGTAAAATAATTAGGTTTCTTTAAAATCAGAAAAAGAATAAAAGGAAATAATTTTAAAAATAGACTGGAGAAAGACAAATGAAAGAACATATGATATGTTTTTGTTTTTTTCTAGTCGTCTAGAGTGATTTAAACAAAAATAAATTAATTTGTAAATAAACTGACTTGAATTCGATAAGTGTGTAATAAATAACTTTGAATTATACATACATATTGATAATATATTAATAATAAGTATAATTAAGTATAATGAGTAAAAATATAAAAAGAGATATAAATCAAGAGAATTTATCGTTAGCTGTTAAAATAGTTACGCCAACATGGGAATCGATTAAAGAAGATTTCGATTGGTATTGTACAAAAATAGAAGAAACATTTTTTCAAAATGATACGACTAAAAAAGAATTATTTACACTTCCTAAATTTGAAGAAGAATTAACTGATGATGTTGTAAATAAGAGACTTTTTAAACATTCGAGTGCTGTTTTGAATTTCATGGAATGCATTGTGCAATTCATGAACGGAAACGAAGAAACGAAACCTGTTTTATTCGTGCTTGGAAGAAATCATTACACGATTGGAGTAAATGAAAAACTTTTTTTAGAAATGAAAGATGCTATTTGTTCTGTGATTAAATATAAAATAGGTACGGAAAATGCAAAAGCTTGGGATACAATATTGCAGTACATTCTAATTAATTATGTATTCGAAGGAATGACCATGTAAGTTTAAGTAATATCAAATTAAAAAGCAATTTTGAAAATTAATTATGGTACTAATTGTTAATGTCACCAAATATTTTATTCAATTTCCTTGATAAAATTAAATTAAATTTTTTTTAATTCACAACATAATTGAAATTATTTTCAGGATTGATCCTTTTACAAATGCATAAAAAAAATACAAGAGAATAAAACCTAATAAGAAATGATTATTACATTGTTTCATTAGCGTTGTGGCATTGATGAAAGAAAAAAAAAACTGTATTTGAACAAAACGTTTAAATGTAACAAAAATCATTTTAAATAAATTTTTTTTTTTTCAATATTTTCTATTGTTTTAAACTAAATTATAATATTAATAATTAAATAAATTAAAAAAGGAAGGGGGAAAAAATGAAAAAAAAAAAAAAATTCACTTACCTTAAGTTTGATTCTGGACATTTTTTTTTCAGCAAAATCTTTAGTGAACATAATTTCAAAATATTCACTAAATTTAGAAAGTTCACTTTTTGAACATTCATATTCTTTTGATTCAATTTCAATAATGATAGCGTCAGAGTTCATTAAATAAAAAAAAAAAAAAAAAAAAAAATTAAAGAAAATTACTTAACTGCGTGCACCACTTGCTACTTTTTGACTAACTAACAGGTGATGACAATGCCTCCGAGATTTTAAACTCATTGTTTCACATTTGCGAGAAGCCGCGCGGATGAATACATGAATAACGGAGGAATATATGAATAACTACGTACACCACTTGCTACTTTTTGATTAACAGGTGATGACAATGCCTCCGAGATTTTAAAATCATTGTTTCACATTTGCGAGAAGCCACGCGGATGAATATATGAATAACGGAGGCATTTCATGCGTTTCAATAATTTTTAAAAGTAACGGTCGATTCAATATTTAAATATATTTAATCATTTTAAAAAAATCAATTTATGTACTTTTTTATGCGTAAAAATTTTTCTTTTTCAATTTAATTATTAATTTAAAATTGTAATGCGTAAAATTATTTGTAAGAATTTAATGAATTCTTTTCTAAACACGATATTTTCGCCCTCAATTTTTTTTTTAATCAGTGTAATTTTCAATTAAAAATGCTTAAATTGCATTTGTATCAAATACAAAAAGTAACATAGCAGTAAGTAAGTAATTATCTTTCTACAAAATAATAATTAATATTTCTTCCCTAAAAATTTCTTCCTTTGAATTTCTATATAATACTACACATTTACCTTATTATAAATTTTAACAAGTTTTTTTTTTTAATTATATCGTCACAAATGAATATTTGAAAAACGAATAAGCTAATAAAAATCATTTTTTTTCGTTTCAATTTAACTTTTTTTTATATTTTAATGTTTTTTTGATTCTTAAAATGGAATATCACAATGAAATTTGATTAAGTAATAAAATAAAATAAAAATTTCTAAACCATAACTTTTACTGATATTTATTTAGTACAGACTGCATTTGAAAAAAAAAAAAAAATATATAATTGAGACTGTAATAATAATAATAAATCTAATAAAAATAAATTTAAACTATTGCAGAACAATTTTTAACTCCACATTTACCAGGATGGTTCACCTCTTTCTTCGGGACTCTTACCATAGAGAGCACTTTTGTCTCTAAAAGTAAGTTCAAATGGTTTCACATAATATTTATCGACAACATATCCTGCAACAATGCCAGAAACTCCAACACTGAGACTCATACATATTGCAGATATTTGCTTAAGTGAAATCATCCTGTTAAAATTTGTGAAAAAAATTTTCTAATTTGAATAAAAAAAAAACTTGTTAACTTTTGCTATCATTAAATATAAATGTTTTTCATTATTATCGATTAAAATTTTATTTAAAAAAAAAAAAAAGAAATTTTGTTGTATTACCTTAATTCAAATTATTTTCTGTCGCAGTTGTCGCAAGTTTGTTTTCTTTATATTTCAAACTTCTTATATAGTCTGAATATATTAAATAAGTGACAATACTCGGAAATAAAACCACGGTACCGTATTTTTTAATTATTTTAAAGGCCATTAACCTAAAATTAAAAATTACAATTTTACATGCACAAAAAATATATATTAAAAATGAATATAATAATCATTATTATTATTATTGTTAACCACACAAAATTTTTCTTTTATTCACAAATAAAAACTATTCTATATTACTTCAGAGAGCTTACCAAAAACATAATAAAAATATTTTTTTTAATCTGGAATAATAACGATAGTTGAAAACGAATTAATAAATATTTTAACAACTATAATAAAATGTTAAAATTAAAATTACTTACACAAAATTAAAGATGGACAGAAGCAGAAAACATTCGAATCAGTTTAGCCAACTTAAAAATTTACGAATGCGATTTGCAATAAAAAAAAATAAAATGTCCACATTAAAATGTAAACAATTTTGTAGGAAAATATTTTTAAATCCGATAACACACGATTATATGTACGTATATTTATATTTTAACGCTTTTACTTATTAATAAATTTATGATAAAGTTATTAATTTATAATAATATTAAAAGTATTTAATAACCGTTAATGTTTTTCTTGAAATTTTTACCAAAACGTAAAATCAATGCGTTCAAAATTATTATTTTCAAATTTTATTTCATTGAAAATAAATTTTTTATTATTTACAGAAAATGTATTATCAATTTACCAAAGTTTTATTCTCAGTATCCTTCAGAATACGTAAATCCAATTTTTACTAAACCGGAAATGGATAAAAAATTAGATGAAATATCATTTGATGAAGTTAAATATTTTAAAATAAGAGCATCATTAAGCGATCAAACCTGTTCAGTTTTTTACGATGATGATAAAAGGAAATTGATAAATCGAGTTATGAAAAAAGGTGATAAAATATTAGCAAGAACACTTGTCAATAATGCTTTCACTAAAATAAAACATGTACAGTTGAGAAAATACAATAAGGAAAAGGATGAAAGCGAAAGGGAAAAAATCCCATTGAATCCTCTCGTCATTTATCACTCAGCCATAAAAAATTTAACTCCTAGTTTATATTTGACAAAAATTAAAAAAAGTGGTACATGGTATCAAATCCCTGTGGGTATAAAACCAAATGAAGCTAAATTTAGAGCAATACAATGGCTTTTACAAGCTACAATGGAAAAATCACCTGTCATAAGTTTTGAAAAAGCATTAGCAGACGAAATACTTGCAGCTCATGAAAAAAGGGGTAAAGCATTTAATAAAAAATTAGAATTGCTTAAAATGTGCGAAGCTAATCGAAGTATCGCTCATTATAAATGGACATAAATTTATTCAACATTTATCATCATCATCATTTTTTTTTTTAATTATCAGTTATGTGTATAAATTATTACAATAAATAAACAATAATAGATAATTTGATTTTGCATTAAATTTCTTTTTTAGTTTTTACAACCATCCAATCCTTTTACGATAACGATTTATCCATTAATAAGTATTTATGCACTCAAATAACATTTTTTTCCTTTAAAAAACAAAAAAAATAGTTTAACAAAGGAATTTAAATTAAATAATAATACTTTGTTGTACACTTAATATAATATTACATGATTAACGATTTCAAATTAACGAAACAAATCATTTAACTTCGTAACCACCGAAAATCGATTCGAATGATTTTTCATCGTGTATTTTACAATTGCTATAAAATAATTTATATGAATTAACATCATTTTTGATTTTAAAATGAACAACATTAAAATATTGTGTGAGTTTATTTTTAAAACCTATCAGTACAATGTCCTCTGGTTTACACTTTACATCCGTCCTTCTACCCTTTTCATTTATCATACAAAAAACAACTTCGTTGACATTATCTGGTGTTTTATTAACATAAATTAAACCGGGAAAATGTTTCAAACAGTTGGCTAAATAAGTGTACATGACAGTGTGTAAAATACCTAGAAAATAAAATAATATATATAATAATCAGTACAAAAATCATATTTAAAATTTTTCACTGTTTTTGGTAAACTGACAGAATGTAGCTATTGCCGCTGTAAAATTTACTGATTTATCCGTTAAATATGTAACAGGTATAAAAAAAACAGTGGCTCCCAATGAATAATATTTTGCTCTTATATATGCACATAATGTATTTATTTTATTAAACGAATATATTATTTTATGTTTATTAGAATCAATCAAATAATTTTTTTTTTCATCTCCTTCTTTTTTACCTATCGTCCCTAAACTTCTTATTAACGTATTATTATTAATATTATTATTTAAAAAATATTTTAAATTAATTAAATTCTTATTAACATAACGATAATTATTAATAAAATTCATTTTTTAAATTTAAATTAAATTAAATTTTTTTTTTTTTTCTTTAACGTTTAACACATAACGAACGACAGCACACTACACTTCCTTCCATTCGAATAAATGTTTGAATTGTAAAAAGTGTTGCCAACTTAAAAAATTTGTTTACTCCATGGAAAATTTTTATCTACGAATTTTATAATGATAAACAATTATTATAATTACTCTATGACAAATTACATGTTTACAATTTTAAGAATTGGAAAAGAAAATGAATTTAATCAAATATTTTTAATATTATTTATTTATATATTATTATATTTTATGAATAAATACGGTAACAATAATAATAATAATAATAATAATAATAATAATAATAATAATAAATCGTTATTAAATATCATGACGATAGATTATAAAATAACTTTAGAAAAAATAATTTTATGTAAAAAAATTAATTAAAAAAAACAAGCGCTACGTAAAACTAATCGAAATAAAGCTAAATTTAACGTTTATTAAAATAAAATAATAATAATAATAACAAATGCATTTCACGGCTTTGAATTTCACGTAATAATATATTAAATGATTAAAAATTTATAAAATTTAAAATGAACACACACACACGCAATTGATAAATGAGATTTTTAAATCTTTTGATATAAATATATAATATTATAAAAACATTTAATTAAAATTTGGTATAAATGGGTAACAGTCTTCATTAATATATATTAATATATTTTTGTAAGCGGAAGATTTCTCCATTGACTTACTTGATTGTCATAATTCTCATAGAATAATAAGTCTCTAAACAAAATTATTAGAAAAAGGCACATTTTCTTTTAACCCCCTCCCCTCCCCCACCCCATACTCCCCATTTTTCCCCTTCCCTTCATTCATAAATCCTCTCGTATTTCTTTTTGCGATTCTTTAACAATGACTGAATTTTCCGTGTCGCTTATGTAACCTTCTTCACCCGTGTAATGCGTCGGATATAACAAAAGCGGAGCCGCCGAATAAGCTAATAAATCCCTTTTCGGAAAATGCTTTTTCCATTCTTTCCTAACGACAAAAAAAAAAAAAAAACATTCGAAATCGAAAATCGAAAACGATTATCCGAAAAAAAACAAAGAAAAACTCACTCCGGATGTTTATCGAACAATATCGGTATGTATTCGTCGACGGGTATTAATTTTTTCAACGGTTTTTGCTCTAATAATTTTCTAGCTCCCTCATTGGTCAACAAATAACCCAACGTCCAATAGGAATACGCCACGTGTACCAAAGATTTCGAACCTTTTACCCAATCCTCGTGCTCGACCAATCTCTTCCTACCGATGTAACTGAAAAAAATGTGACGTCATTCGTCATAAAAAAATTTAAAATTTTCCCGCGCGAATAACGCAACGCGACGCGACGCGACTCATCTCATCTTTCTTACATTAAATCCCAGGGTAATTTCAAATCTTCGACTTCTTTTAATAGCGCCGTGATTTTCTCTCGGAAATAAGGTTCGAATTGTACGTCATCTTCCAATACCATTATCAAATCGTATTTGTTTTCCAAAACCTGAAAGTTCCAGAACAAAAAGAAAAAAACAAATTTCAATTTGGAATATCACGTCCAAAAATAAATAAATAAATAAAAATAAATAAAATCATAAAAGATTTTTCAATCCGTCACGTCAAATCAAACCATATTAAATTTCAAAAATGTTTTCTCAACACTTTAACGTATTCTATTAATATTATTATTATCATTATTATTATTATTATTATTATTATTAACTTTCATTTGATTGGTCAACCAACCGACCAATTGGATTTTATTATTACCTTTTCCCAAATGAAATAATGACTTAAAAAACATCCGATTTCTCCGTGAGTCATGGCTCTGGAAAAACAAAAACAAATTTATAAAAATTTAAAAATACATTTTCCACGGTTTTCCGACGGGGAAGAGAGGAGTAGAAGGAGAGAAGGGGAAGGGGAAAATTAACAATGTAAACTTCTCAAAGGTGGATGCGTGTTCAAGGTCAAATAAAAGTTTCCATTTCAATTTTCTTTTTTCTTCTCAGTCATTTTTTTTTTTTTTTTTTGTTGATCGTTTATCAAAGGTGGAAAAAAAAAGAAAAGTGTTTATTCGAACGTTTCAATTTTCCGACTTTTCCTTTTTCTTTTCTCTTCTCTCTCTCTCTCTCTCTCTCTCTTCCACAAGAAAAAAAAAGAAAAAAAAAAAATTTTTTTCAATTATGTTTACTCGTCCCGTTGACGGCAAGATTATTAAAACTTTCACTCATTTCCCCCCCCCTTTTCCTTCGAAAGAAATAAATAAGAATAAAAGATGAGGAGGAGGAGGGGAAAGTGACGGGGAAAAAATTTCCCTGCACTTTGTATTAATTATTATTATTCGTTTTATCTTTTATAATAAAGCTTTTACCGCTTTATCCGTATTTATTAATTGCTTATACTTTCTCTCCCTTACTCTCTCTTACTTTCTCACTTAGTCTTTTCTTCTCCCTCTCTCTCTCTCTCTCTCTCTCTCTCTCTCTCTCACTCTCTCTTTTACTCTCTCTTACTTTCTCACCTTTTCTTTCCTTCTCTCCCCCTTTTTCTCTCTCTTGCTTTCTCACTTTGTTTTTTCTTCTTTCTCTCTCTCTCTCTTACTTTCTCACTTTGTCTTTCCTTCTCTCTCTCTCTCTCCTCCTCCTCCCCCTTCCTCTTTTACTTTTACAAATCGTTTCCTTTCGACCAACGTCGATTTCTTTTCTACCGACGTGAAAGTTACAAAATCTTAAATTACAAATAGGAAAATGATTTGTGAAATTCGAACGCGTTTTTTTTTTTGTTGTTGTTCTCTCGCATCACACAAATTGAAATTTCAATTAAAAACCTTTCAACGGATAAATAAACCTTTCACGCGCACTCCCGCACCCGTAAATTGTTTCCTTTTTTATCCTTTTTCTAATAATACGCCATTTTTATTTTTTATTTTTCTCTAATTACATACACATATATTACAATGTCGAAAAATTTTTTTAAAATAAGTTTCCACCGCGGCAAGTTCCTTCCCGCCCCCCCACCCACGGAATATTAAGTTAATAATAATAATAAAAAAAGGATTCTTTTCGAACTTACCTTTTATGATAGGGATCCTTATACTCGGGCATGAATTCGATTCCCAATTCTTCCAGATATTCGTCGGTCAGAGTCCTTAAAAAAAACAAAAAAAAATTTTTTTAGAGAATATAATCAAACAGGAAACGGAAACAATAGCAGGAACAGAAATCCTTTGAGAGAAGAGAGGAAGGAGGGGAGAGGAGGAAATTTCCCGACGGTAAAATTTCATTCGTACCATCATTTTCTCCCCCCCCTTTTTTCAAACGTAAAAAAAATTTTTCAAAGTAACGACGCCATATTTGTATTTTAAATCTTAAAAAAAAAAAAAATGATGTGTGATTTCAAATATGGCGGAAAATTTTTTTTATACGTTTGATGTAAATATATATTTTGAAAAATTTTATTGAAATTTTTCTTTTTCCTTTTTCTTTTCCTTTTTTTTAATCTTTTCGATTTTCAATTTTATTTTATTTTCAAGTTTTCCCATCCCCCTCCTCCTCCCTTCCTGCGTTACGAAATCTTAGAAATATTTTTTTTTACTTTACTTTGTAAAGAGAGAAAGAAGAAAGAATTGAAAAGAATTGAAAACAACAAACAAACAAACAAACAAACAAACGAACAAACACAATCCGATATATATATATATGTTCTTTCTTTTTCGTTACGAAACAAACGTGAAAAGTCACTTGAGAAGAACTCATCAAACCGACATTAAAAAGAAAAATTTTCCGAAAATTTATTTTTTTGTTACAATCAAACAACCCAACGACAAACGACCAAAAAAAAAAAACCGTTGGAAAAATAATTTTTTTTCTAACCGTCAAAAAAAAGAAAAAAAAATTTCCTTCCTTCTCATTGGTCGAATAAAAATAATCAAATTCATTTTGATTGGTTAATAAAATTTTCACCGATAGATTTCGCCACTGTGTAAAATCTCCACATCCGATTGACCGTTCCTTATTAAATAAATAAAAATAATTTGAAACAATTTTCTTTTTTTTTTTTTTTAAACCGGATTAAGGTTCGGAAAAGCATTTTTAAAAATACCTACAAACAACCTAATCGAATTCTAATCGCGTTAAGACGAAAAAAAAAGTAATAATAATAATAATAATAATAATAATTTAATCAAAATCCGACGACGAAGTGATATATATTTATAGAGAGTTTTCGGAGAGAGAGAGAGAGAGAGAGAGAGAGAGAGAGAGAGAGAGAGAGAGAGAAAGAGAGAGAGAAAACTTAAACGCTCCCAACTAAAAAAAAAAAAAAAAAAAGAAGATGAAAAATCACGGGGAGAAAATTTGCGTTGCGCGTTTAAACCGGATGTGAAAAAACGAAAGGAAAAGATGACGAGGCTGTCAGTCTGTCTCGGGAAACCTCATCCGGTGCAACAACAAAATTCTGTTATTAAAAAAAAATAAACGACGCCGACGATAATAATAAACTAAACAACGCGATCGTGAAAACAGACAAAAAAAGTTTTCAAACTAACCGGAAATACGACGGGGTATTGTATAAACAAAAAAAAAAAAAAAAGTTTGTTATTCGAAAGCGGAAGTGGTTAAAATTAAAAAATGTTTTCTGATAAATTTGCGTAAGTTTTTTTTACAAATTTTTCTTTTTTTTTTAATTATTTTTGGCATTAACGAGATAAAACAAAAAAAACGACCAAGTTAAAAAAATTGTTTCCGATGCAAACAAACAAACAAACAAACAAACGAACAAACAAACGAAACGTTTAAAATAACGAAAACATACGGAAATCATTTTTTTTTTCATTCGATTTCGTTAACCGCCGACGCCGCCATCACACCCACCACCGCCTTCCATTCTCATTTACAATCCCTTCATTTACACCTTCTTCCAGTTTCCTTCCCCTCTCCTCTCCCCCCAAAAAACTCCAGAATTTAATGAGTACTCAATTAAAATCCTCATCATCCGACATTTTCTTCGTCATCATTTCTCTCCTTCATTTTCCATTCAATCATTCTCCCTCGAAAAAAAAATCATTCATTCATTCATTCATTCATTCATTCATTCATTCATTCATTTTTATTTCTATTTTTCCAGTAGTATATTTATTATATCTCCAACTGGAAAACGTCTAAATTTTCCCTATTTTTTTTTTCCTTCTCCAGAAATAAATAAATTAATCTTATCTCGGAAATATTTTTTCCATCGTAATAATTGATAAAAAAAAAATAAATAAATAAATAAACATATAAATATATATATTTTATGATGTTCCTGGAGAAGAAAAAAAAACTCTCCGAAACGATATATTATTATTATTATTATTATTATTATTATTATTATTATTATTATTATTAAACTTCTTTTTACGAAAGAAAGAAAGAAATAAAAAATAAAATCACATTTTTTTTTTTTCCTTTCTCCAGTTTCGAATTTTATTATTTGATATATATATATATATATATTTTTTTTCCTTTTCTCTGGAGCTGGAGAATTTTAGTTTTTTGAAATTTTCACGAATCGAATCATCATTATCATCATCATTAAAAAAAAAAAAAACATTTTACCATGTTCCGGATATTTTCCATAAGTTTTTTCCTCCACTTAATAAGAATAATAATTTCGCAAAAAAAAACGCACATAACGCCAAAAATGCCTCATTTTTCTCTCTCTCTCTTTCTCTCATTTACCGCGGGGAATCCCTTTTTTCGCGGAGTCGATTGATTCCACGTTCTCCAGTTTTTTTTTACTAAAGTAATTTATTACATTATTAACTTGTTAACTTTAAGATAATTTAATGACATATATATAAATATATATAATATTACTTTTTATTACTCTTTCCTTTTTCCCCCCCCTTTCCTTCCTTCCTTCTTTTTCCTTTTATTCGTTTGACCTCCTTCTTATTATCCCGTTTTTTCTTTTTCCGTTTCGTTTTTCTCTTTATTTCGATAGAAAATTTTTTTCTTTTCTTTTTACTCGATGCATATTTTTCGTTTGTTTGTTTTGTTACAAAAAGAAAACAATGACGTGGAATGCAATTTATTCGGAAAAAAAAAAAAAACGATTTTTGAATACGTTAACAGAGAGAGAGAGAGAGAAAGAGACAATTTTCGATGCATTCGATCCGGGTGTGGGTCCCTTTAAAACGAGAGAGTGAGAGAGAGAGAGAGAGAGAGAGGAAAGGGTTTATACTCCGCAGTATCAGTGGCAACACTGATTTTAACCTTTTCGTTTCCTTCCGTTCCGTTTTTTTTTTTTTCGAACAGTTAATTTTAAATTTAACTCCGATGTAATTTCATCTTTTCCCTCCCAACCCCTCCCTCCTCCCCTACCCCTCCTTCCATCTTTCATATCCATTTCTTCTTCTTTTACTCTTCTCTTTCTCCTCCTTTCATTATTACAATCACTTAACGCCTTTTATTTTTCTTTTTTTACTCGCGCGTGCGCTTTAGTCACGTGTAAAGGTCACGTGAAAATGGCGTCCGGTAGACATTTTTTTTTTCTTTTTTACCTTAAATTAATTTCTTTTGTGTTCGATTCAAACGACGAAGAAACAAACGACGACGAACGTAATTATTTCATTTATACTTTACCGTTTTTGTTTCTTTCAATAATCTCCCTCTCTCCCTCCCTCCCCCCCTCTTTCTCTTTCTTTTATGAAAATTAACGTGTCGCAACAATGCATCAACGTTTTCATTTTCCTTTCCCTTCATATTCCCTCTACCTATCATTATTATTATTATTATTATTAAATATCCTTCGTATTAATGCACGCACACGTGAGAAGAAAAAAAATCTTCAATTTTTATTCTTGCGGTTTACGTAATAAAATTTTCACCGATCGACGTATCGATATATCGATCGATATTGAAACGATAACGATTCGAGAGAGAGGGAGGGAGAGAGAAAAAAAAATTTAAATGTAAATTTAAATTAAAAAAATTATTTGTCTGTTGCCACTTTGATATTTCTCATCCGTTTCAAAGATGAAAATCGGACGAATGAATAATTCCAAAAAAACAAAAGATGACACGTTTTCACCACAAGCTAAACATATGCGTGAAAAATAAACATAAAATTTCAAAACCATTTCGTTTAATTATTAAACTCGTTCGATTTTCCGGTACAAAGAAATAATTCGAGAGACGATTTCAAAACAAACAAATAAAAGAAGGCGGCGACTTTAGAAGAGTCAACATTCAAATAATTACGCGCGTTTTTCAATCATCGAAACGCGGCGGATCACGTGACAAATTTCCTTCTCATAAAAAACAAAGCAAATAGAAAAGAAAATTTTTAAAAGTTTTACAGACGTAACGAAACGAAACGAACCGGATCGACTTTTGTTTTGTTTTTGCGTCCGACTTTTGACCGTTTGTTTGTTTGTTTGCTTGTTGTTGATTTGTTTCCAGACGTTTATACCGTGAATATGTTATTATTTTCATATTTCAAAATATAAAACGGTCTGGAAAGTTTTTGACGAAACAAGAGAAAACGAACGTATGAAAAACTTATCGAATTGAGTTATAACAAGCGTTTGGGAAGGGGGGAGGAGAGTTTTCCTCCGCCATTTTAAAATGGCCACACTCTGTACTTTGCTCCATTTTAACACACACACACACACACCCCGGCTATTTTCGTTATTAAATTTTTGTTAAAATTAATTTACGCCTCCTTCAACGACCTTAGTTAGTAGCAAAAAAACCTTTTTCCTTCCTTTCAACCTTTTTTTTTAACTTCCTTTTCTTCTTATTTTACTTCTTTCTCTCATTCTCTCTTTTTAAAACTCAATTTTTTTTTTTTTTTTTTTGAAATTCGTGTGTGGTTCAAAGGAAGATTTCCCTTCCCCTACCCTCTCCCGTCTTCTTCTCTCCTTTCCTCACGAAATTTCCACCGTTGAAGTGCAAGAGAGAGAGAGAGAGAAATTTTTTTTTTTATAATAAGTTACAAAGAAAACAAATTATGTTTCGTAAATAATAATAATAATAATAATAATAATAATAATAATAATAATAATAATAATAATAATAATAATAAAGTTTAAAATATTTTACCTTCGAGCAAAAGGGAACCGACGACGTTGTTGAGAAAAAAGAAAAACGGAGGAAACCTCGCGGTTATGAAAAAACGTAAAACCAAACATCCCGAAGGTTAACAAAAAAAACAGGAGGCGAAACCTTTTTTCCTTTTTTTGATTTTATCGTCGGATTATTATTATTATTATTATTATTATCGATTAATAGAAGAAACCTCTTTTTTTTTTTTTTCGTGTCAACAGAAATTATCGAATTAAATTATTTATTATGAAAACAACAAAACAATATTCGAACCAACCACGTTTTAACCGTTTTTCATTTTTCGCGAAAAGAAAACAATATAAAGATTATATAAAAAAAAAAGAAAATCGTCACGTTTTTCTAAAGACACGTTTTCGCGTTTCTAAGAAATAAATTATTAATAATAATAATAATAGTAACTTTTTTTTTCTTTTTCAAAACATTTTAAGAGGAGAAGGGGGGGGTTTTCTTCGTCTTAAATTTCCCGGATGTAATTATATATCCTTTCCGATTTCATCCTCCCCTTCCACTTCCGGTTTAAAATTTCCCGTTTCTAAATGAATAACGATGCACTTTCGTCGTTTTTTTTCTTTTTTTTTTCTTTTCCCGCCGGGAAATCGTTTCAAGTTAATCCTATTCAAACAGTCTATTGACACGTATGAAATAAATACGCGGGACAAATCGACTTTTTCTCTTTTCTTTTTTTTCAAATTACAAACAAAAAAAATAAAAATCATCATTATCACCATCGTCATCGTCATCATCATCATCATCATCGTCATCGTCATCATCATCATCATCGTCGTATCATCGTCCACGTTTTTGACAGGACAGAGA